ACACACACACACACACAGGGGAAGTTCAGTCATGCCAACATCCCCCTCCAAAGTGGTACAGGGCTAACCTTCGGATTTTTTACTGAACCAGACGAACACAGAATACCGTTTGAGGCACACAGAGTGTAAACCTTTACTTTATTCCCTTTTTACTGCAAATTAAAGTTTTGTAGCTTTTTCCGTCTGATTTTACGGGAAACATCTGGATCTCTCGCACCGCTGGAGCAGTGGCCCCGGGTGATTCTGTGCTGCTCAGCTGTGAGGGCCCGGGATAATGAGCAGGTATCAAACGGGCTCCTATGGATAAGCCGACCTAGGTAGGAAGGGCTATCCAACAGCACCCAAGACCACCGTGCCAAAAGCCAAGACTTGTTCATCTTTCACATGTTATTGTGAAAGATTTTATTTTTTAAGTTTTAAGAAGGGATTTAGCTGCTTATTGCTTAAATGAATTGTTTATGAGAAATTACTTAAATTGTGAGTATTTGATGATTATCCAGAAAATTTGATTTTTTAAGTGTAGGAAACATTAAATCAGGACACGACCCTGTCCTTTGTTTGTTTGTCCCACATGTGTAAATTCACCCAAATTTACTGATTAATCACTGTAGGACCTGCAGTAGTCGTGCAGGGACATGTTAATCCTGAACCAACATTAGAATTAGCCAAAGAGATCATAATGTCTCACAGTTCTCTGTGTCAGATAAATAGCAACATTTCAAAATCATGGCCTTGAAATGAGTGATTTTCCTTTTACGAACCACATTAGTGAACATCATGTTAAATTTAAAAAAAGCAAGGTATACATGACTTGCCGACCAAATTAATCACATCAGATAATGTAGAAGAATAACACAAAGTTGGCCTTCTGCGTTACAAAATCTGGGTGTTCTCTCTGTGAGACTGCCATATGTACATTTATATAACATAAAGTGTTAATAAATAAGAGATCATTTGGGTTTGGTGCATCAGCAGCAGCAGCAGGAGGATAAAGCCGCTGTGGTTGCAGGTGTTTCCCCTTCAAACCACACTGACCTTGAGACTATCAGCCGCACTGGCAATAATATCTATACTATAATATTTCCACAAAAGTTTAGGGTTTGCCTGTGGAAAACAATAAGGAGTTTATGTGGCATTTATTGTCTGCTGAATACTTTTATTTTATAAAGCAGTTTTCCACCAGGGAAATAGTCTCACTGGTATTTAAAATGTTCCAGTTGCTACCCATCTAAACTGCAGTATAGATTTACTGCAAATAGAATGAAAGGCCAGTGTTTGTTTTGCTGGTGGTGAAATTATTAAGTTGTTTAAAAGAGTAACTTGAAAGCAAAGATCTCAGCAGAGAAAGCCACACTTGCAGAGTTGAGCTGAAAGAGTCCCAGAGAGTCAACCTACCATTTACACTAGTAGCCCTGCGTTAACAATGAGCTCCTTTCAGTGTTTAGATTGCATCTAACCACGTCTGGGAAAACGAGATGTAAACAATTTTAATGTTTTAAGAGTGAGTGAGAGAGGTTCAAAGACATTTCTTCAGTCGTCTAGATGAAGTCCGGGCTTTCTTTTTCTTTTTTTCCTGCTGCAGGCCGAGAGTTATTGTCCTTATCTGCGGTTGTTGGGGCTCCCTGCTCGTTAAAGAGCCTGAAGGCATCGCCATTTGAAATGATTACTCGTTATTTAAGCGGACAAGCATTTTATATGGGCGAGTTTGAAACTGGCTCAAATTTCCTCCACTGTTAATGAAGCTGTATTTTTTTATGGTCGTTTTTTTTTTTTTTTTTTGTCGTTTAAAGTTTCTTTCCCATAACAAGAAGGAGGCAAGAAAAGGGCGAATTCTCACACCCAGCAGTGAAAAAAAAAAAAAAACTGGTGTTGGTATTTTATTTTCCAAATGTAGCAGCCACCAGGGGAACCTGAACCAGAGAAACACATTGTTTGAGGCTGGTCTAAATGACTTTTCATTATCATCTCGTTAGATGGAAATTCACCAGAAACGTTAAAAGAGTTCAACTTTTATGGGAAATGTATTCCAGCAGAATAGATGCTATTTACACATTTGTTATAGCTCAAAAATCTACAGCTGAAATAAAAAAAAATACAAAAATCAACCAGAATTAGTTCAAAAATATGTGTTTTAATAAATAAGCGAAAACAAAAATGTACATTGGACGGAGTTTGGAGACTTGCTAAAGAAAGTCGATGAAATAAATCCATGCAGCAAATGACTCTAAATTGCATTGGTCCCTTTACTATAGGCGTACTTACACAGGTATGTACAATATGCATTCATTTATATATATATTTATACTTTGGTTTAAAGTCTTTTGAAAAAACAAAAATAATTCCTTCTAAAAATCGAGTAAAGCATGGCTTTGCTGGCAGGCCGTAAATCCGAGCTATAACATCTCTCGCCTATACAAGTTGCAGGTCTCTCTCTCTCTCTCTCTCTCTCCGTCTCATCGTCTCTCTTCTCCTCTCCTCTTTGCCACAAACAGCTCCAGACAGTCAGAAGCAGTGTGATGAATCTGCATCCACACACACACACACACACCGCTCCAAGAGTTTGTGGGTCACATTACGTCTCTCCGCCATGCCTCTGAGGTCGATGGGTTCTTCAATAATTCCTTTGGTCTTCATACTTTGTAGAAGTAAACAGTCTGTGAGGAGGAGGAGGAGAAGAGATACACAGAAAAATTATTATTGATAATGTGGCACGGAAATGCAAACTACACATTGATTTTGCAACATCTGATGTGTTTTTTAAACATTCACTGGCTCGCTGTGCATGTGGGAAGTCATTAATGAATCAATTATTAGCCACTGAGCTGAGTAAAACCATATGGCACCAGGAACATTTTGTATTTGAATGTAGTTGTGCAGCTGCAGTGAAATACAGAAAAACACTGTTTCTCTGGCTCTTTTAGTTTGAAGCACCTGAGTAAATTCACGCGTTTTCATTTCGCTGCGGATTAGTGGACAGTCCTAAAACAATAAAATGTAATTCCTCAGAGCAACATTAAGCCCAGAGTCATTATTGAAATATATCAGTAAGGTCACTCCGGTCACGGTTTGCAAAGGCTGTTTTTATAGATCTTTTTTTCTCCAGTTTATGAATAATATCCCCATGCGAATTTTGATTTCGACTATTTTAATCCATGGAACAAAATTAATAAACTTTATCCTAAAGGACAGAATATTTCCTTTCACATGTGTTGAGAAATAAGAAGTAACTTTCTAACCTTGTTAGAAAGTCTAAACTACACTTTTTAATGCTTTGTTATTTTCTTTTACATTCCATGGAGGTCAATTAAACTCAATTACTCAGGGGGAGAACAAAAATCCACCTTCAAATTAACTGTGCTTACACAAATCACTGTAATGAAGCTTATTCCGTTTGCCCCATGGCACCAGGCTTGGTTTAGAAGACAACAAAGCCTCGCTGATGGGCGGTCTGCTGACTGCATGTCAGGCCCATGAGAACTAAACAAACCCTGCTTCTAGTTATTTTAACCAGGGGTGTTATTTACTGTCTCCCACTTTGTGCTCTTTAGTCAGACCATCTAATAAAGGGGTAGCCTTAAATTAAAAAGCTCATATTACAATACCTCTACCTTTATTTTGTTAAATTGATATGGAAGAGTCATTGCTGGGGCCGGCTATATCAGTAATTACATAAGAGCTCAAAAGCCGCTCAAACTGACTGGGCATTATCTGAAAATGTACAAGCTGTTATCATTTGTCATAATTCAGTAGATTATCAATGTTGCTTGACTTTTGTTTTATCTCTCATCACTGTTGCCAGATTGCAAGTTTATTCACTGGAATCACACCAGGGAGAAAGTGTGACACTGAGCTCCAGGAAAGGTTTGCTCTCAGCTGTCAGTCTTTACTGACATGGGCTCTCACGGCACGAGCGAAAATCTGCAAAATAACGTGACCAAATCCTGACTGCTCGTTAATATGGGCCTCTGTTTTTATTGTCTTGCACTGGCTTGAACTTACATGTCCAGCCGAGCTGCCCATTCCTGCGGTCTCCGCACAGGAAAGCACTCTATTGTGGATATAAATTACCCGTGGTGGCACTACAGCTGCGTTTTGGTGCGGCCCAGTCCTTTTTTTTTTTTTTTACCAGGCTCATTATGAAATGCTGTTAACTGAGACTGGATAAAGATGAACTGCAAAAGTCACGAGCGGCTGATTTAATGCCTTTCTGGTCAAAAATAGATTAGACTTGTTGTCATTTTTGGTCAACGAGGCATTTCTTCATTTGGCCTGGCATGTGAAAATGTTCCAAAACTATTATTTGTATTAATCCGCCTACTTCCCTGCGCCTAATCCTTTTCTCAAAAAAAATGTTCATTTTTCCACATCCTGAACAGAACTTTGGCGTTTAGGTTTGACTGGATACTTGTGGGATCTTGGATGTGCATCCACATGCAAACTGATGGAACGGTTGTCTGTGGGTCACCCTGGCCTTGCGCACAGCAGCATCCGGCTGCAGGCGCACAGTGAGGCGTTGGAAAGATGCTGAGGCCTCGGTGTGAAATCTGCCACACACATAACAAGCGCGCCCAACACAGCCTGCGTGCTTCTGAACATGTGAATGTAAATTGGGATGCTGTGCACAGCTGATGCATGCGAACCGTCTGAACATCCGCCCACAGATTTGCTTTGTGATTTGATTTCTTGGGATATATATGGTGTGAATCCAAATGTGGCAGCAGGCTATAAATTACATCCTCCAAATCCAAGACACGTGGCCAAATCACCACCATACAACTATTCATATTTTACAGAAAATGAACGCAGGGAAGGGAATAGATTTAGGAGGAAAACTCACAGTATACTCAAAATAATCTGTAAATCTGCCTCATTTATATCAGCCTACCTCCTAATACTGCTCTTTAACTTTTTATTCACTATTTGTCCAGTCATTACTCACACCTAATTTTCTGCTACTTCTAAGGCTACGGATACTATCAGTGTAAGATTTGCTTTGCTCCAGACTGTGGTACCCACCGCTTTGGCATTGTAAGTGAAGGTCTCTGGGTGCTAGTGAGATGCTGACATAGACCAAGCACCCTCCATCCTCCACACGGAGAACGCGTAACTGAGTCTTTCGTGCGCAACGTAGCTGCAGCTGGACATCTTGTTGTCCATCTCGTCGCTCTGCAGCACCTGACAGAGAAAATCAATATATCTGGAGGCGAGCTTCAGCGTCTGTATCTTGCTGAGTTTGTCCGACGGCAGCGTGGGGATAATTTTGCGCAAAGACGCAAAGGCCTCGTTCAGAGACTGAGTCCGTTGCCTCTCCCGGACGTTGGCCAGGACCCGCTGGTTCTGCAGCTCCTCGTACGACTGAGTGCTGCTCGGACTCGGTTTTTTCCCCCGTTTCACCGGACCCGGGCTGCTGCCGCTGCTGTCCTCGCTGGACTTTTTACTGTGTCTCCTCTTCCTCGCGAAGCGTTTCTGCTGTCTGTCCAGCTCCTCCTCGCTGGTCACCAGACTATCCACAGGGGAGACCGGGGAACTGGAGCCCTCTTCCATTTCTTTCTTGAAGAAATGCAGGGATAGAGCGGAGAAAACGTTGTCCACCTTTGAAGCCGTGGTTACAAAAATGTATAGATATCCGAAAAGATGAAGGGAATTATGTCAGGATGTCTCACTCTGTGCGCTTCTTGCTTGGGAAGAAACTGCTTTCAAACTGGAGGTTGGCACGCTTCTCCTCACGCAGGAAGTTTTTTCCTTAAATTTTTTTGGAAACTTTATCCCGGTTTCAGATGCTAAATAGTTTTGAGAGTGGAAGGGGAGGGGTTTTGAGGGCGAAGGGGGAGCTATAGTGTGCGTCTTGGTCCTCTAATAAGCAGGAGGGACCAGTCATGGTTTCATATGTCTGGGAGATGACTGAAACAAGGCACGTATTTACTGTCAAACGCAACGGACATTTGTTTGATTTTTCCTGTTTGTGTGAAGTTAGTCCCATCATCAAACAGACTATTTCTTTGTGTGTTTTAACTGAAATGCTAAATTGAACCACAATTCATCAAAATATGAATTATGTGTTGAATTATTACAAATAATCATTAAAAAAAGTTTCTAGAATTCTATTTTATTATCTTGAATTATCTGTGATAATCTTTGATATATGGTTTGGATAATAAATTCACTTTTATATATTTTGATAATATTCCCTTAAACGTCTCAGCATGTTTTTTTTGTTTGTTTTTTTTAAGCTGGGGAGTTTTATTAAAGTAAAACATCCGCCTATGCCACGGGGGTCAGTTAACTGCTGTATAAAATCAGATTTTTCTCGGGGCATTAAGGCTGTGTGCCATAATGCAGTCACTCTCTGCACGGCCTTTTATATGCGTTCAATCCTCCCTGTACAGTAAATACTATGCTCCCCTCTTCAGTGCAGACTATCTGCTCTGTGGAGGGCGATTTACGCACAAATTCGCCTGCCTTGAAGAAATCTATCCGCTTGATCTTTAATCGAATCAAGTCTGTACGCTCTCACAGCTTCTATAATGTGGAAGTATAACAGGAAGGAGGCTTAAACTAACCGAGGAGCTCTCCGGTTTCTGCGGATACCTCCAGTGGACGGTTTCTCCATGCATTTTGTCAGCGGTCCACCTCTTCATCTGTCATGTCATGTTTTCCCTACACAGAGCGGCGCACAGGTGGCTCACATTATAGAGCTGAATTTATCCACTGCCAAAATGCAGTTTGTCCAAATCAGCTGACTGATCTCTAGAGATCTCTGTGGTTCTATATTGTTGTGGTTTTTTTGGGCTATAATCACTTTTTCTGTTTGGCTCCCATAAACTGCAGAAATATCATGTCACAAGTCATTTTATTTTCATTTAAAAAAGAAAGAAACAACGTCAGGAAAAAAAATGAATTAAATCCAAATTTCATTAGGATTTTCATTAGGCTATAGGAGTGATCTGCTTAATTGTGTTTTTTCGAAGAAAATTAAAAGTATCTAACAATATTAAATTAATACATTTGATTTGATTTCTTATCAAATTATTAAGTCTTTTACCTTTTTTGTACACTTTTAACTTGTAACCCACAAAAACATAATATTGGATGATGTTCCTGAAATGTTTAAATAAACAAGGCTTCAACTGTTAATGTAAGTCTATCATTAATCAAATTGTACTGAGTAATTGCCTCTTATTAGGAAGCAATTTTGCTAATTTACACTGTAGTGTACACTTTAGTTCACCAAGACTATCTGAAAATAATCAAACTGCAGTATCTTGAGTGCATGTGCCCGTGTTATGTGTGTTCTACACGTCTGAGGAGACTGGTTGATGTAAATGGGGCAGAACAGAGTACCTCCTGAAAGTTGCACAACATTGTTTAAACCCATGAGTGTTCTTGGTATTGGGACATATCCTGGTTTTCCCTTAAAAGCTCCCTTGGCCTATAGAAAACCCTGGTCTGCTTTGTGTTTTGGGTTCCACTGGTAATGGTGACTGTCACACTACTTTTACTCAGTGCCACAGCTCTTAATTCAGACCCTGGCATGCCTCAGTATAGGTCGAGGTGTGGTTACATTTTTCTGGCCTACTTCATACAACCTCTTTATAAAGAAGGTAATGTTTCACACATGCAAATATGAAAGTAATGCTTAAACACGTGTGAGTGCATTGCATAAAAGAGAGAATATGCACATGCAGGAGCAGACACACACACATACACACACACACAATCACACACACTTTCCCTGATTATGCCCTTTGACCTTCTGCTCCCTGGCTCAGCTGCAGGAGGCCTCCATGCCCAGGGGAGAAGGTTCAGACTTGCAGAGTGAAAGGCTGATCCTGCACAGCGTCTGTGTGGTACGCTCCACATATACACACTTCACAAGAAGAAAAAAGAAGGGGCCCTGGCCAGCACTTTTCCATCCACTGTATATGCTCTGGGCAATGGTAAGCAAACTCTTGTTCAAAAAGGCAAGCAGCGAATGATGAGGATGACAGCTTGCCTCATTCCCAAACTGATTAGAATTCTTTCCCGATCATATTCCACTGCAAAACATAGACGGAAAATCATGTGAAAAGCTGCAAGAAAGCTTAAGTGTAATAATTTAACATACATTCTTGCAAACTTGGCACTTCAGCATGCACACCTTTTTTGTTTAACTCTGTTTGGGATGTAAAATTTATATGATTTTGAGCTTTTTACTATTGAAGTAGAATTACATTAATAAACATTAAAAAATTATCTTGAGCTGATCATTTAGTGTCTCAGCAAGGTCTGTGAAAACATTTTGATACTGAAATATAGACCAAAAGGACCATAAGTTACTGGCTCATTTGCTTTTTCATCCCCTGTGGATGTCAGTAAACGACTCATGTATATCTCACCCAATGCTCATTGGAGTTAAGAGGAATTATTGGTTCCTGTGGTTCTCGTAAGAACCCCCGAGAGAGATGAAGGGAGAAAGAGACGGAGAGGCAAAGATGGCAAAATGAAGTGAGAGAGAGACAGAATGGGGGGAAGAGAGAGAGAGAGGAATGACCTGCCTCTCAGATCAAAGATGAGCTCCGGCCGTAACTCAGCTGAGCAGAATGACGTACCTCTGTCTTGTCTGACACCTTTAAAACTAGATCCACATGGGTTTGAGGGCATGGCATTAATAAGCCCAGATCCCTTCTGCTGTTACATCAGTGCAAACACATCCCTGTTGCATGCACGGCCTTATGCTATCGCATCAACCTCGTAAACAGAAACGATTGCTCGCAAGACAAGAAGTGAGGCCGAGAGGTGTTGAGAGATAAAAAACAGGTTCAGAGAGAAACAGAAAGGAAGGATACAGACGAAAACAGAGGAAAGAGGCCAAATGTATGGATGCATGATGATTCACTTTAGTCTTTGATCTGACAGAGACGGCTATGGATGTGTGAGGGAAGTTATGGAAGAGATGATTTGTTAGAGGCTGTGATGAGTGGAATTTTACTGTCCATGTGTCTGCCAGGATCAGTTACCTTTGACTTCAACCTCCCCAAACACTTGTGAGGCTCACCCCAAATGATCTTGGCAAGAGGATCTAAAGCCATGGCCTGTGTGCATGCATATGCGTCTGCTTGTGTATAGTATGTGCCTTTAAACTCATGTACAGTATATATTATCACCTGATTATTGTGTGCATCAGTGTAGCTACATCTGCCTTTCCATATATGCATGTGTATATGTGTGTGTATCTGCGTGTGTGTCAGAAAGTGATTCAAGATGAACCAAAGATGTTCAGCAGAGGAAAGGCCCAGCTGGTTCTTATTGCACGGAATACAGTGTCTATTACCAGCAGTGCAATCGCTTTTAAAGCTACCTGTAGTCCCACCATTTCCATTAGAGTAACCGTTTACATATTGACTACAGCCCAGTTCTGTAACGCAAACAGGCCAAGAAACACCTGATGACATGTACTGAAAAAAATTGATTTAACAACCAGTAACAGGGATTTGTTTCTGTAAAAATCCAGCAGCAAAAACAGTGTATAATCACCTTTTCAGAGGAAAGATATATTGACTTTGAAAGGATAATATAACTAATAAATTGTGTGTGATGCATAACAGTTTCATACTCTTAAGCATTAAACAGTTTCTAAAAGTGTGGTGGTACCCATTAAAAAAAGAATGGTACATGTTGATTAATGGCTTCAATAAAACTTCAGGGAATACTAAAAATGATTAGACCCCACAACGACAAACACAAAACCACTGACTGTATGTCAGTATTGTTGTACATTCACTCACCAGAAAAAATATTTTTTTTTTGTTTTTCTAACTAAAACCCTGCTCTTTACTAAGACGTTGGTGGTTCCCAGAATATGAGAAAACCAAAAGCTATGTCTGTTTTATTGTGCAGTTCTTTTCCAGTAAGTTGTGAAAATGTGACTCACATGTCAGTTCTGCATAAGACCTCACACTTAAGACATGACACAAATCTGAATCTTAATGACTAAGATATGTTTGAAAAACCTCAGTGTTTTTATAAAGAAACAACTGATATGTTCAACAAAGAAACATAAAACATTGTTTTCTTTCTGGCTAAGAATAGATGTTATTGAAGTTCTTCGTCAGCTGTTGCAGTTTCCCAAAGCACACAGAGACACAGGTTTTACATATTTATATGAAATATCAAAACCAAGCATTATCAGTCACAGGCAGTGTTTCTAATAAGAGCCTGTATTTAGCAGAGGCCTCTTCAGTGAATGAAACAACCGGCAATATCGGTATGAGGTACATATTGGGCAATGAAACCATAGGCACCTCCACTCATACAGTCATTCTTCAGTAACTTTCAGTAACGCCAAGAACCCATTCATTCATGTATCCACACTTCCCCATTCTGCTGCTCCAGGGCTGATGACAAGGTGTTTCTGAAATCGCATTAGGGGCCCTTTCATAAAGGATTCATTGGGGAGTGTGTAACAGCTTGAAGCATTTAGGCTTTGTTTAATATGATGCAGACTCGCTGCTCGATGCTTTGTCTCCTGTGTAGAAAGGGGCCCGGGATGCCAGAGACCCCCACTGTCAGAGTTTGCTTTGATATCTGAAGGTGGAAGGGGAAATAGGGCAGAATAACCCAACTCTCCCCTACGCACACACCACCACCGCCACCCCCCAAAATCTGTATGCTCAATACCTGACTCTGCCCTGCTGCCCCTGTAGAGTTATGGGCGTCCAATGAACAAGCCAAGCTTTGAAGTGCAGCTCTCCAAAGCATTACGCCCTAT